CACAGGTCCCACTTCTCAGGAGCCAGGTCGCCCAGCGCAGGCGCCTGGGCCCGTGTGGCCTTGGCCGTGGAGGCCTGGCGGCCGGGCTGGGGCGGAGGCAGGGCCGGGACCCTGGGCCGCCCGCTGCAATATTGATGGCCCGTCACGGCGGCCCTGATTCCTGCGCTTTCAGTTAAAAGGTTTCTGTTGTTGTAGCTGATGCAGTTGCTCTGTTGCTATGGAAACGTGACATCAAAATGACGTTTCCCGTTTAAAAGCTTTTAACTAAATTCCTGCCTGTCAGATGTAGGCCCCATTTTGAGCGTGGAGCTGCCTTCCCAGAGTGGGGCTCTGTCCACGGCGCCGGCCCCGGCCGCCCTGAGCCGCTCGCTCACCCACAGGCGCCTCCGGCATGGCCGCGGCCGAGGTGCCCGGCTACCTGGTGTCCCCTCAGACGGAGAAGCACCGGCGGGCCCGGAACTGGACCGACGCCGAGATGCGTGGCCTCATGCTCGTCTGGGAGGAGTTCTTCGAGGAGCTGAAGCAGACCAAGCGCAACGCCAAGGTGTACGAGAAGATGGCCTGCAAGCTGCTGGCCATGACGGGCGAGCGCCGGCTGGGAGAGAGTCCGCAAGCCGACGCCCCATCCACTGAGCCAGACCGGTTTCGGCCCTGAGCCCGGCTCTTAAGCCCACCTTCGGTCAGCTCCCCGCGATACAGCCTCACTGTCTCACGGTGCCCTCCCCACCCAGCCGCGCTGGAGGCCGGGCTCCGTGTCCCCTGGCCCTCGGGACATCAGGCCTCTGCCAAGTCCTGACAGGCCCAAAGGAGGGTGAGGGGCCCACAGCCACGGACCTAGCCAGCAGCAGCCCCCTGTCCGAGGTCAGCATGGAGGCCGCCAAGAGAGGCGATGACGAGCCTGGGCCGGCCACGGTGGTGTGCACGGCTACTTGGTGGGTGCGGAGGAGGGACGTGTCCTTCACAGGGAGCCTGCCAGCCCTCGGGCCACACCCAGCCCCGGGCTCGCCTGCTGGTGTCAAAGCCAGGCCCGGCCCCGGGCCCACAGGTGACCTCACCTTTTTGGCCTCAGGCTTTTCATCTGTAAAGTGGGTGTTAACAGTGCCAGCCTCCCTCACAGGCGTGCGGGGAGGGTCCAAGCAAAAAGCACACGGTACCACGTGGAGGACGGTGCCCAGCACTAGGGGTGCTCCGGCTCCCCCACGTTTCTCTGTGGTGTCTAACCCGGGCCACACAGCTGGGAGGGAGGAAACAAAGCAGCTGGCTCAGTGGCTCCAGTCCCAGGAGGGGAAAGGGCAGAAGGACCACAGTGGAGTAGGAACACTTCAGAGAGAATGTGGTATCAGAGCAGGGTTTTGAAGGATGAATAGGAGTTTGCCAGTAAGAGCAATGTCAGTAACGTCTAGGTTACTGGAGCAGGGGATGACTTAAGGTTGGTCCCTTCATTCGTTCACTTACTCAGCGAGCCTTTGCCAGCCCTTTCCGGTGGGGTCTGAGGACGCAGGAGCACCCACCCGCCAGGAGGAAGGGCAGGTCTGGTGCTAGTGCGGCATGGCCGGGGCCATAGTGGGGCTGCCCAGGGCAGGAGGGACACCCACACCGGCGCTCAGCTCCTCTCCGACCTCAAGAACGGTCCTGGCGCCTCAGCCCACCCCTGTCACCCAGGCCGGCCAGCAGCCCCCTGCAGGGAGGGAGATGGGCACGCAGAGGGGCAGGGCTGGGCGTGCTCAGGGCCGGAGCCGCTCCTGCCTGGCCTGGGGTTCACACGTGTATGTTCCCCACTGTAAGGCGTGAGTGTGTTGCCCGGGGCACTGTGCGTGGGCCTTGGGAGAGGAGCCCTGGCCTGTCCCTGAGGGTGTCTGCTCCTGTGTCCACTCCTCCTTCGTGCCCGTCTCTTCCCCCTCCCTCCATCTGTGCCCTCAGTCCCCATCTCCCTCTCTGCCCCGTCTCCGTGTCTGGTCCCATCCCCACACTGGGCTCTCTGGGCCGTGGCCTGCGTGGGCTGGGGCCAGGCTGAGGTGGGGGCTGCGGCCCGGGTCCCACT